TAGAAGGAAAGAAAAGAAGACAATGACCAGCAGCTTGGTGGATAGGCTCAAAGTAGTAATGTGCACTGAAATACCACATTACAGACAGATCATTATAGCAAAAATTTAAGTATTGACAATAACTTGATGGCACGTAATCAATCAATCAATGTTATTTTGAAAAATACTGCTTGATTTTACATTGTATGTAACTATTTTTATTGTACTATTCAATCTCTGTTACAATAGAAAGAAAGGAAACAAGAAAAAATGGGTACCACAGCATCATTGTCCAACTGAGAAATGCTGGTAATTGTAGTTCTGGTTCACTTATTGGCAGGACAGATAGATACTTTGGTGGGAAGTATAAATTCTGGACTCCTCTTTACAATCCTTCCCAGAAATGAGTTTCATGGAACAAAACAAGGTAGAATGGATTGCTGGGAATGAGCAACATAAAATGTTTTGAGCAGCCATAAAATATTTTTTGAGTGTTTGGAAGGAGCTTTGTAAAAAGACCTTGCAGAAAAACCTTATGGAAACTCATGCATCTTTAACACAAGATGTCTGCTGACTGTCAACTCTACAATGAACCTGGCTACAGCTATTCTTCTCCTCATTTTAGGTTGCCACATAGAATGGAGGGAGGGGGCTTGCCCAGGTGCTTCGCTAGTCAAAATAACCTTCTGTCCTGTAGGAACCAAGGTCATCTACTGCTCCTGTGATCAGGGACTGGGCATTGTATAAGAAAGCATGTCAAATGAATATATTGGGAAATGTAGTTGATGGCATAGTTTTGTGGGTGGGACATATTGTGTAACTGGGTAATTTTTAGTTGGAAATTCAGACTTAGTTTCACTTTTGATCGTGCTGATACTTTCTAACTAATAAACATGATCTTTGGGAATCTCCAAGCCTTGGAGTTCTGTTTTATTTGTCTCTGTCTGTTGGAACCATGACAATGACATTAAAATAGCATTGAAACAGGCATTTTGTTTCTCTGCCTCAGCAATTTTAAAATGTGTGGACTTCAACTCCCAAGATGGCTGGGGAATTCTGGGAGTTGAAGTCCAAACATATAGGGTTGTAGCTGGTTTATATCAAGGACTAAAATTAACTTTATGTAAATAGCTTTTAAAAAGTAAGTTGCAGATGTCTGATAATCTTGGGTTAGAGTAAAAGAGGCTTTAACCCTTTGTTGATGCTGGGTTCTTGCATGTGCGAGGTTATAGGGGAGCTTCCATCGAAACAAATGACCCCTCTATTTTCAATGGAAACAAAAACCACTGAAGATTCAGACTGAACCTATAGAGGGTGCTACAAAAGACTAAATACATCTTTTCCCCATGCAATTACATGTGTCCAGATTGGAACTATATCTGCAAGGAAAAGGAGAAGGAGAACGGCAAGACAAAGGAAAAAGGGGAGAGGAAGACAGGATAAGGAGCCATTTCCACAATTAGTAATTGTGCAAATATTGTTTTCAAGTTGAAGATCTTAATCTTGAACCAAAAAGAAACAATACAGTATTCCTGCTGTATTTTACAGAATGTTGATTCACTTTATTAGCTCCCAATTTCCTCAGTCTTGCATTATAGTACTATCTCATTTTGGACAGTAAATATACAGGTAGTCCTTGACTTACAAAGTTCATTTATTGACCTTTCAAAGTTGCTACGGCACTGAAAAAAGTGACTTATGACCAATTTTCACACTTATGACCATTGCAGCATCCACACGGTCATGTGGTTTACATTTGGATGCTTGACAACAGTTCATATTTATGACAGTTCCAGTGTCCCGGGGTCATTGATCACCTTTTGTGACTTTCTGACAAGCAAAGTCAATGGGGAAGCCAGATTCACTTAACAAAATGTTATTGATTTAACAGCTACAGTGATTCACTTAAGAAATGTGGCAAGAAAAGTCGTAAAATGGGGCATAACTCACTTGACAAATTTCTCATTTAGCAACATATATTTTGGGCTCAATTGTTGTCGTAAGTTGAGGACTACCTGTATTTTGTTTCCAGTGATTTGAAAAATATTTCTGATCAAAGGTCCCCACCTGCTGGACATTGTTTGTAATTAACATGTTATCTTTAAGAAAGTACTGTACTACTGTATACTGTAAGATAAGGATACATTGCTGAAAGTGAAGTGTCCTCTAGCTGTGTTGTATCAGAACTCCATATTTACTAGTTAACCATAGTTTACACATTATTCTTTTTAAATCAGATTATATGGATTGAAATTTGGAATAAATCAGATAAGAAGACAATTGGATATTAAAATAAAAACAAGGCTTTTCTCCTTGAGCCACCAAATTAAACAGAATTATGTCTGAATTGGTAAGATGTTGGAATTGGAATATCATTTTCAAGTAAAGGCAAGACCTAGTTTCTCTATACATTATTCACGATGAAATGTGAAAGATCCAACAGTGAAAAAGATACAGAATCATTTATACATTTGGAACAAACTCACTTCTGATAGTCTGAATTCCAAGTAATAATTTAAGGTTATACAGGCATAGAAATTGTAGACTAAAATTAAGGGTGAGATACTGAAGAAGATAACACATATAGATGTATCCTGGATGTAATTATAATTTTATACTTTATTTTTTTTTTTTTTTTTACTATGAAGCCTCTTCCATGAGATGACCATTGACACGGGAAGTTTTAATAGCTTCAGGACTCTGTCAGAAATAAAAGTTTCCACCATGGTAGGACCATAGGAATGTTACAGCAGTACAAAGTTTTGCTATTGTTGTGAGTGATTGAAATGTAAGCCTCAGAGATATATAGGAACACTGAAATTACAGGGATATTTGAAAATCATAAATCCGGTAAGAATTTTGAAAATGGGGAAGGGAAGGGAAGACAGTGAAACTGAAAAAGGCTTAACCTATGGTAATAAATGATTATAGTAGTTGGGCAATTTGTTGAAGGTGTTTGTTAAGACTGCATTCGTGCCTGACAAGTGGACATATGAAAAGAGAAAAAAATATATGCAAAAGTTAGTTTGCTAAGTATATCTGGAAAGATGCTGGCAACTTCAGAAGAATATGGGAAATAAAATGTACATAATTTGGAAAGTGCAGTGAAAGTCTGTGTTGGGTTGGGAATGTGCAGATTTTTGCTTTTCAACAGGTCAGCGAGGAAGGTACGAATGTATGAAAAAATGTGTTATCTGTTAATTTACAAAAAAAAGTATATGATTCCAGAATGGTCTGTATGAATGTGGTACTGAAGTTTTCTTGCTAAATGAAACAAAAGCAATATATAGTAGTAATAGTAGTAAAGTTGGAAGGGACCTTGGAGGTCATCTAGTCCAACCCCCTGCTCCGGCAGGAAACCCTACACCATTTCGGACAAATGGCTGTCCAGTCTCTTCTTAAAAACTTCCAGTGTTGGAGCATTTACTGCTTCTGGAGGCAGGCTGTTCCACTGATTAATTGTTCTCACTGTCAGGAAGTTTCTCCTTAGTTCTAGGTTGCTTCTCTCCTTGGTTAGTTTCCACCCATTGCTTCTTGTCCTGCCTTCAGGTGCTTTGGAAAATAGCTTAATTCCCTCTTCTTTATGGCAGCCCCTGAGATATGATGGAAGTGAAGCATCCATGACATAAATAGAATGTTCACCAGATGGTTAATAGTAACATTGAGCTCTATGATGTTCCTTTGGTTGTTTAATGATTTTAAATGTATAAGTAGTACTTGTGGTATACAGATGATGCCACATGGTTGGCTGAGGACCTAAAAATATTTGCAAAAAATATTATAGAGACTGTTTGTTGCAATAAAAATAATGCATCTGAAAATTAAGGTATCAAAATAAATAAGTTCAAGTTATAAGTGGAAAAATATTAGAGCAAGTAGAATGGCACAGAGATTTTACGAGTTCCCCTATAGTTGATTTGTTAAGAGAGTATAACCAGAGGAGTTGTGCTGTTTCTGTGGTTTTTGATACTATTCACTAGAGTATGAAGAAAGAATAAATACATTTAGAGGAATGGAATGAGGAGAAAGTCAGGATTGGATGAAATTCATGAGATACACACAAAGAAAAAAAAAGATTTTAAAAACAAAAGGCAATATATGAGCTAAGATATGGACTCAGTGAAAATTATTTACCAAGACGGAAAGTTATGGAGAGGTATAGCTAATAGCATTGGTGTAAACTAGATTTAGTTAAATTTCTTTTAACTAAAGAGTTTCTAAATTTCTTTTGCTAGCTCTTAATTTTTTCCTGCCCTTTGTATAACAGCCCAAAAGGGAATAGTATATGTATGTATATGTATATGTGTAAGAAAAAAAAAGCTTTTTAACTTGTATCCTTGAACCAACTTTCATGCATATTCAAGCCAATATGAATTATTACGTTTGTGGCATTGTGCTTGCTGTTGAGTGCAACAACAATAAAAAGAACAAAACAGATTTGGTTTAACATGAGTTCTATTAAACCAAAGCAGCAGGTACGCATATTAAAATTCTCAGTTGTATAATAGAGTTTGTGGTAAATTAATTCATTTAATAAGCAACCTATACTTTTAAATAAATCTTTAATAAATATATTTATCTCAAGAATGTCTCAAAAGAAATATAAGAAATTGCTTAACACCGAGCTTTGATCTAACATAATATTATCTATTGTTAACTTAGTTTTTTAAAATATATTAGAGTTTCTTTCCCCAATACTTTTTAAGTTGGGTATGATAGATAATGAAAGTGAGGCATCCTGCACTCAAGATAATCTCATTTTGTACTGAAACAGAATATATAATTTAATGAGTATTATGGGAAGTTTTTGTACATATGAACATCAAATGCATGCTAAAATTTCATCTGTATTAAACAAAATTAGATATTTAGGAGTACCTGTTCCCAAAAAAAACCTCTATGCTTTTTTGTACAGTGTCTTACATATTCCAAGGTTCTATTTGATACAATTATCAATGCAGTTCTATATTAAATCTCATGAAACCCTTGCATTATAGATAACAATTTTGCATTTGTCTTACCTTTTTGTGTTTGTAATAATATAGGCAACCGTCATGCTTTAATACAAACCATCTCTTTCTCCAGCCCTTTAGGATTCCAGAGTGGGTCCGTTTGTGGAGGTATCCTCGACATGTTGGATGAGGGACATTGGGACAACGACTGATATCAGAACCCACCAATAAGTTCAATATATCAGGACCTGAAATATTTGAGTATATAATGGCAAATTAAAAAACAGATTCTTCTATTGCACATAATAGAAGTAATTAAAACAGAAAATATATACTAAAGCTTTACTCTAAAGCTCTACTATAAACTTAATGTTGAGAAAATATCTTGTCAAAACAGACATATTGAATTCTATTCCTATAAAAGCTACAACTGTTTTCAAAAATCTTATATTTATAAAAATGGCTACCATCAACCCTACTGATGTTGATATACAGCATTATGTATAGCAAGGCACTATTCATTGAAAATGTACCGAGAAATATGAAACAAACAAACTTAGCTAGTGTTGTGAGTCTGTGCCAGCCAGTGGACCTGGCAGCTGAGTCCAGGGAATCAGAGGAGGAGGAGGAGGAAGAGGAGGAGGAAGAGGAGAAGGAGGAGGAGGAGGAGGAGGAGGGGTTTGGAGAGCCATTAGAGTCAGAGGGAGGCTCTAATGAGTTACAAGACTCACAATCTGATGAAGAGCCTGGCCCCTCCAATCGTGCTCAGGATGAGACTCAGCTGTGTGGGGAAGATGAGTCAGACTCTGAGGACTCACAGCTGGAAGTCATTAGAGACACTTGTAAATGAAGGCAGTTAACTAGAGCAGGTCAGAGGAGACAATACAGCAACTCCAAGGGAGGAGGAGAAGGCATTGAGAAGCCATGCCTTGGGGCTGCTTAATAAAAAGGGAAGGTGTGGGCAGTGCTGGTTGCTGAAGGCAACTGTTTGCAAAGAACTTCAGTGTCAAGGGATCATGATCTGTTTGTTTTGCTGGTGAATTATTTCTTGTTTAACTCCTGCTCTGTTTTGCTTTTGAACCCACTATGGTTTGACCAAAATAGCTTTGTGCTGTCAACATTCACACATAGAAGTTCCAATCAAATGTGCTTTTGTCATTCCAATAAGGGGAGCAGGAACCTGAAGTCATCTTTGACAAAATCTGAGACTTCTTATCTAAAATGATTTCTGAATTGCAACATCCAAGAATAGTTTAACTTTTAAATATACATTCTAAAAGAAATTACATATTAATATGAATGTTACTGTGCTTCTGCTGATGAAAAATAGCTCCTATCATTCAGATTCGGAGAACAAGAGCAGAGAATTCTCAAACTTCTTCTTAATAATTAGAAAAGGAATTCTTGTTTTTCTAAAGAAGAGTGTGAATTCCAACTTTACAATTAAAAATTTGGTATATACTAAAATAAATTTGTCAGTATCTTGAGAAATAACGTGCATTTGTTAAACATTTTTATCTCTGTCAAAATAGTATGACTGAGAAGTCAAAATCCCTTGGGTATAATTAGCCCTCACTCAAGAATAGTTTGAATTTTAAATATATCTCCTAGAAGAAATGTCATATTAATATGAATATTATTGTGCTTCTGCTGGTGGCAAAGAGCCCTTTTTTCTTATTATCAGAAAGAGTTTCTTTATTGGCTGAAGAGCTAAGAGCTATTGCATTAATTCAGCCAATGATGAATTTTCCTCCAGAGAAAATACCAGACATAAATAGTAGATTAATATCTTGGACACTCTTCTCAAGTCTCATCTATCTGAATCCTAAATGTGCTCTTTCTGTCTGACATTTGGCCTAGATATAGGTGATTCTGCAAGAAGATAACAATAGTAATCCCTGCCCATAGAGAAAAATAATTTGTTAAAAAAAATCTAAGTCACGTTTTTCTCTTGAATCATTACTGCCATATTATCACATCACTCACCCTGTATCTACAGTAAATCTATCCTAAAGTCAGCTTTTTCAGTGCACCAGAATGATATTATTCAAAAATAACTTTGTTCTCTCAAGAGTTTATAGATATGAGATATATTTCAACTTCCTTGACAATAGAAATGGCAACTGATCTTTTCTAAACTTTCTTTGGTTTGTTCCTCTGCTGTTGCAATTTTGAAAAAAAAAAAAACCTCAAAGAAGGAAAAGTTAATGAGTAAAGCTTCTTGTGTTTAAATACTTAAGGCAGTGGCAGGTCAAAAATATATGTATTTGCTAGGGCTATTTCAACTTTGGGGATTTGATTCAGATGCATTCAAACTGATTTTCCTCTAATTTGAAAATAACTGTATTGAATAGCACTGAATTAACAATCCAACCAAACTGAGAATGCAGATAGGATAAGAGCCAATCTATATTGCCCTGAACACATCTTCTTGTGCTTCCATGGAGAATATCCTTCCACTATAAATTTCATCTCATTCCAGTGTGATTGGCCCACCTCACTTGTGCCATCAGAAAGGGCATGTTTTGGAACCCGTTGGTCAAAGAATTTCAGCTAGTGGGTCCAAGAAAAGAGCCTTTTCTACTGTGGCTCCTGTCCCTTGGAACATCATATCCCCCCGAGGTGAGATCTGCACCTACCCTCCTGACCTTCCATAAGGATATGAAGACTTGGCTCTGCCATTTGGCTTGGGGCCCCAATAGAGATGCACCACTTTAAAGGTGGTATCAGATCAAGAAACACTTCCACCTCTCCACATGTACTTTGTGCTCATCTCCTCACCATCTTTTATTATAATGACTATTATTATTTATTGTTTATCATTTTAATGTTTACCAGTTTTTAATTTTGTAAGCCACCCAGAGATGCCTGTAGATGAGATGGGTAGCACACAAATCTAATAAATAAATAAAATACTGTACTACCATATCTCTCCTAGCTAGAAGCTTAAGAACTGCTGCCGAGTTATCCCATTGCTTTTGTCATTAATTAAATTCTCAAGCGAACAGAGCAACCTGGCTTTTCTTATTTTCATGATATCTTAAAATGGTGAGAATTCTGCAAATAGACTCCCAAGCACTATTTAAAAAATTAGAAAAATCTGTTGTAATAATTTGACTGGCTATTTTTGGCTTTGGGTTAAGAACTAATATCAGAATATAAAATAACAGAGTTGGGAGGGCTCTTCGAGGTCTTGTAGCCCAATTCCCTGCCCAAGCAGGACTCTCTACCAAATGACTGTCCCATTTCTTCTTAAAAAGCCCTAGTGATGGAGCACCCTCAACTTCTGAAGGCAAGCTATTCCACTGATTTATTATTCTCACTGTCAGGAAATTTCTCTTTAATTCTAGATTGGATCTCTCCCTGACAAGTTTCCATCCATTATTTCTTATCCTAGTATACTGCTCAGTGTTGTGAGAAAGAACCATGTGTGACTAAAGAAACTGTATTTTGGCAGGCACAGAACTGACCCATAAATAAGGAATTTCTAGAAAGTGTATGAACGGAGAATGTGGATAGGACAAAAAACTTAGCGAACTGGCGAATCAAAAATGATCCAATGGGACCTTATCCATTATTGCAGGGGTAGTCAACCTTGGCTCTTTTATGACTCGTGGACTTCACTCCCAGAATTCCTGCGCCAGTTGAAGTCCACGAGTCATAAAAAAGCCAAGGTTGACTACCCAGTGCTATTGTAAGGGAGAGAGCTTGAAGGCAGAGAATTGAAAGATTGATGAATGCAATTTCTTCATGGTGTTTTATTGAGAATAAAAAAGGCTGAAGAAAATAATTTTGGATTGAATTGAAGGAAGCTGCATATATTAGATATGATTAGTCACATTACACATAGTATAAAACCAGTGCCTTGGGACTTAATATTCACTGTACTTTGAAGTTGCAGAAAAGGTGGTTGCCCAATGTTTATTATATATGCTGATAATTGTGGTTGAGTTAGGTGCTCCTCATTTTTTTTTCTGTTTTTCCAAAGTGTGCAATTTTTCCATTGAGAAGATTAAGCACCAAATTTGAATAAGCACAATTAGAGCTAAACCAGGGACTTTTTGTATTGATTGTGATCCCTTCACTGGGTGTGTCAAAAATCCTGATAGGTGAGTAGCACTATCTGAAAAGCCAATCCATCATTTTACCCCTTGATTTGATTTTTTATTTCAATTTTATGCTACCAAAACAGCATCCATTAGAATATGTCTTAAACTTAAAAAGAAAAATCTTCAGGATTTTGATCTCCTGAAATATGTAAAAGTTTTAATGTTGGACATGGTTTTTTTAAAAAATTACATGAGACTTTTTAACTCTGTGCTGCAACTATTGTTTCTGTTTAAATTTGCATAAACCCAATGTCTTTTATTGTTGTGGGTGTCGACACCATTTACAAATAATCAGTTCATATTTTTGAGCAGACTTACCTTTTCTTGCTAGGTTTGTTGCCTCTAAATGAGGCATGCTGGAAACATCTGTGCCATTGACAGCTATCACTATGTCTCCAATCTGAAGGCCCGCTTCTTCTGCTGCACTATCTGTCACAGAATGAAAAAAAAAATGCCCAGCATTTAGCAATATTTGGATAATATCCACAAGAAGGAGACAGCCTCATTCCCATTACATCCATCATTGCAATCCACTTCTCAGACATTGGAAAAGTCATTCCTAAGATTTTCCCTTGCTTTGCATAGGCAATCCAAGTTGAACTTGTTTAGTATTGGGCTCATGTAGACTGCTGTCTATTGTTCTCTGCTTGAGGTGGATTAAAATAGCCTAAATGAAAAGGGGAGGGAATTTATATTCTCCTTCTCCCTTTTATTAGATCACAATCACAAATAATCTAACCTGAACAGAATTCATTTGATTTTTAAGTACATGAGATCACTACACAATGACATCATGGATTATCTGAAAAGGCAGATGCCTAGAATATGAACAATGGACCTTGGGCTCCATAACACAGTCCTGGTTTCATATTATGACATAAAAACAATTACTGCAAAGGCAATGGTAGAAGAAAAAGAGTAGTAGAGAAGGAATTGTTTTTTTCCCCCTAGGGGTACTTCTTGAATTTCCTTAATATTGCTAGGTTATCGCTCTTCACTGTACTCCAACTTTCAACCTATGGAAAGTTACAAAGCAAAGCTATATTTACAGAAATCCCTATGGATCTACTTAGACATACTTAGAAGATGAAGTGATCTGTGGCCGGGTGCTTGGTTAGGAAATGAACCCATTGCCCAGAAACACCAGGTGAACTGAACTAATAAAAAGCATCTGGTGATTCCACTTTTTTTTTTGTTTTTAGCTTAATGTGAAATCAGATGAAAAATTGGTGAGAATGGGAAGATGAAGCTCTAACCGCAGGTTTTTATGGTTTCCCTTAATGGTTAGTTGGAGGGAGCTGGACAGCTCATTGGATAACAAATACATTTAATCCTCAACTTACAACTATTCGTTTAGTGACAGTTCAAAGTTACAATGGCACTAAAAATGACTTATGACCTTTTCCCACATGACCGTTGTAGCATCCCCATAATCATGTGACCAAAATGGCAACTGGCATGTATTTATGATGGATGCAGTGTCCCGGGACCTGTGATTGCCTTTTGTGATCGTCTGACCAGCTAAGTTAATGGGGAAGTCAGATTCACTTAATAACCATGATGTAATAATTTAATAACTGCAGTGATTCAATAAACAACAGTGGAAGAAAGGTCATAAAATTGGGCAAAAAAACTCACTTAACAATTGCTTTTCTTAGTATTGGAAATTTTGGACACAATTTGGGCTCAATTATGGTCCTACACTGAAGACTACCTGTACTTGTAGGATAACTAGATGGCATTTCTGAGGCCAGGGGGACTGATGGTTCTATGGAAGTGCTTAGATATTTCTTCAGGAGCAAAAGGCAGCATATATAGCCCTCTCTTCTCCAAGTATTCCCTACAATAGATTGGACTAAGACTGCAATACAATTGTTGTCCCTACTGTAATAGTGCTGCTAGCTAAGCTGTGCTAAGAGTGATTGGCACAAAATTACCAAGTGAGCTTCAGTGACTAAGAATGTAACTGAACCTGGGTTTCCCTAATCTTAATCTAACACCTTAACCATTATGCATTCCCACAGAGCTAAACAAACATTAGAAGAATTGAGAGTTTGAAAATAATTGTTACAGATAGCACTGGTTGATGGGATTTCAAAGCATATAAAAAATGTCTGATCCAGAAATATTTAAATTATCCTCTGGATTATTATCAGTAGCTTAAAATTCATATACATTATGTCTGTGGTACAGATGGATGTAGCCTGCTTTTATGTAAAGACATGCTAGGGACAGAAGGAAATGTAGAAAATTTGTTCAATTCAAGCCTATCAATTCATTATGATTTGAATTATTCCTCAGTGTTTCTCAGAATGATGTTCTTCCTCTGTATCTCTTTGCAGTGTAGTATTACATGTCATAATGTATTCTGAAATATTTTCTTCCAGAAAACACAAACACGGAGGTCCTTAACTAATCCAAGTAATCTAAATTTTCTGATACCCCTTGCCTTAGAAAATGCATCTGAACAGTATAAAGCTCTTTTCTGAAGGAATGGAAGGAAAAATCAGAAGCTAGCAGAGAAATGACAGGTGTGGACATTCTGGGAGCTTCTGCTCTTTTCATAAAAGCTCATCAAATAATATATCTTGCATTATGAGAGATTATGGCTCATCAAATAATGTATCTTGCATTTGACTGATACATCCAGAAATTTCACATTACATTTCCAAAGCCATTTCAATAGTTTTGAAGGGTTTTTTTTTTTTGTAACTTTTATTATTATCACCATCTTCATTTACTGCAGTTTGGAGAAAAGAAGCCTTTTTGATGGAACTGGCTTATGGTTTATTTATTTCTGCCATTTAATAAGTTTTTAAAATGCCAAAAAGAAATTTCAAAAAAAGTATGTTATACTTCTGAATTTCTCTGGGTTTTACTCGTAAATGTCTTTTGAAACTGCTTCTCAACCCATAAAACTCTTATAGTCCACAGAAAATTCTTCAGACAACAGATTTGAGGTACATTTATGGACAATGAAAGGTCCAATAGTGCAGTCAAGAACTGGGTCTGACCCAGTTTCCATCTTAGATACCGTATCCTACAGAACTGTAAGTGTAATGCTACAACAAGAATGTAGAACCGGCTGAAATATCTGGAAGGTACGAGATTGCCTATCAATTCTGTGAAACATGAGTTTCCAGCTGGCTCCCTTTTCTTCATGTATAGCAATTATAAATATCCATTAGCAGCAAATAAAACTTAATTTAAGTGAATTTCTAGAAGCAATGATTTCTGCAAGGATACACTTCATATAAAAGCAAACAAGTAAACTAGTGGCCTGAAATCAGGGTTGGTGGGCAAGCTATTAAGGCTCTGCTTTCAGTAAGCCTGAAACGGATGTTTTAAAATTTATGTGGGGAAGGAAAAGAGAAGAAAGAGCATGTGACTCTAAAAGTTATACTCCCAATATTAAATATTTTCTAAAGAGATACATGTCAGGGTGGCAGGTATTCAACTAATCATTTGTTCTGTCAAACAGAATTATCACAAGAAGAGGTCAGGTGTTAAAAAAAATGATCTTATTCAAAAAAAGAGACAAAACTACAAGCAAATCCACTTTTTTCCCCTAACTGCCAAGGCACACTGACCTATTTTGTCATTATCACCATCTTTTTTTAGCAGACTATAAAGCAGAGCAGAGGGGAAGTAATTGCTTCAGGCAACAGCTGACCCTTTTAGTTTGATTAAATGAAAGTCAGAATCAAGGAAGGTTCTTCATCCATAAGTCACTGGCAAAAGAGAAGAAAACTGTTCCCCAAAGCATTTTTATTACAATGATAGGTCTACTTGCAAGAGTAACAACAGGATTTTCTTCCATATTATAGAAATTCAGTAGAATTCTAGAAAATATGCTTCATTGTAATCACAATAAAAAAATCAGAATTGTTGAAATACCTGCTATCTCTTTGCTGGCTATTTTAAACATCATACCATTTAAAACTCCTTTATATCTTTTCATGAAGGAAGTAAGCTTTGGGGATGATCATGCCACTTACTGGAATCCACTTCGGTTACCAAGATGGGCTTTGAGAACTGGATTCGGAATCCCCAAGGAGAATCACCCGTTCCTTTAGGAATTCTCACAGTTCGCTCCCGAACTTAATAGAACAAAGAAAACAAAGGTGAAGTAAAATGCTCAAGTTGATATTTTTATGGGGCATTTGTTGACTACCAGCAATTATTCTGAATGGGCTACTTCTTGTTATAAAGTTACAATTAAATGGATTTTTTTTAAAAAAAGCAATTAATAAATCTTAATCATTAATCAGATCCAAAGATCCAAAGAAAGAATCAAGAATATAAAATAGCAATCATAAGGGTGATTTGATAATTCCAATAGTACATTGGCTGCAGCCTGGCAGGGCAGTAAAAGAACTGAATGATGTTTTCTATTTTAATTTCGTTATTGATTTTGATCTATGTTTATTAAGAAAGTATCCTTAGCTTCCAATTTCCTGTTCATATGAAATTTGCCTCAACTTAACTTTGATCTTATAGTGTCTTATATTTTGATACAGAGTAAAATATTTTGATATTTTTATTGGAAAAGAACATTTATCATTACTGGGATGATAATCCCATCATTTCTTTAATATAATTGAGTTTGCATTCTTACGAGACAAACAGTGTACCCAATAGGTTTCAGAATGGTAACTGTGATTTCATTGAAAGTTGCACACTTAACTTTTTTTATGTACATTTAGGTACATTGTTCAAGTAAATGATTGATTATACATACAGACTTCACAGCAATGTCTGGAACGGTTATAACAATAGTAAAACAGAATGGTACAACTCACCCAGCCAACTCACCATGGCCAGTTCATTGTGGGACAATTCACCACAGCCAACTTGCCACAGGACAACTCACTGCAGGCCAATATAACAATTCAATTTAATTATTTAAAATAAATAAAAATATTTTAATTTTTGTCATTCACATTTTATTTTGTCCCTCCTTTTGCATCCGTTTTTTAACAATTCTATTCTACTATTTCCTTGATATTGTCCCACAGTGAGTTATCCCTCAGTGTGTTGGCCATAGTGAGTTGTCCTGTGCTTAGTTGGCTGTGGCAAGTAGGCTGTGGTGAGTTGGCCATGACAAATTGTCATAGACCCATAGTCAAGGTGATAGCTCTGACCTCTTCTTGTTTTTTTTTTTTCATTGCATTTCACATAAAAAGAATATTATTCTGTTATTCTGTTGTTATTCTGTATTTCTGTATTTCTGATTGTGCAGTCCTGGGTACCATCTGGACTTCTTTTATTTCCTCCTACCTCTCACAGATCCCCTTCATATCACATGCCTGAATGTCCTTTTATATCCTTCCTGGCACACTGAGATTTCTTCAGCCAACCAACCAACCAACCAACCAACCAACCAACCAACCAACCCAACCAACCAACCAACCAATGAGCTGTTGTTTTTATAAGCAATAATATATTGCAATTGATAATGACAAAAATGTCTAATGCCTATCACACTCCTTTTTACTTACTAGTAACTGGCCTTTTGCTAAGAGAGCTGAGGTTAGTATCTGCATTAGCCTCATCCCCTTGGAACACCCAGGAAGCTGAGTGAAACATTTCTGTGTGGAAGCCTTCACTTTCCCTGAGTGGTCTCAGATCCAAGGAACAGCCATCTTCTGAATTCACTGGAAAGAGACAAGAATTGGGAAAAGGCAGATTTGGAAAGATCAGATATTTTTGTTGGTGTAATCAAGAAAGTGGCAAAGTTATTTAAAGAAAAAAAATGAAGTAAAACTAGAATCTACTAGTAAAAAATGAAAAAAAAATGCTTAAAAACAAAAGGGCTCCTCCGCTTCGATTCATGGCTTGCTCATGATTTTTCTGCTCGTTATTATAAATAAATTATTTGAGTATTTAAATGGCTTCTTCTTTCCCTCTCTATAAAGTTAGATGTTAGTTTTCTTTATTTATTCATGTTATTTATTTACAAGAATTATATGGCAGGACTATCTCATACAATGACTCTAGGTGGCTCACAACAAACCATAAAATAAGGTTAAAAACAAAGATAACCTTCCCCTCATCATCCAGACCAAACATTGTTGCAACTCAGTCCTCATCCTGTTCTTATACCATCTTCTTTTATTATTTTGTAAGTTATATTAAATATTTTATCATCTGTATTAAATATTTAAAGTATTAATATAAGCTGTCTTGAGGACTAGTGTCAGCTTCAGACAAAGGATTTCATTTTTTATTAAGTGAATCCTCCTTTTGCCTATCGCTAGAAATACTTCCTTACCCTTCTTTCTTTAGATTTGATCAGCACAAGTTCCCAGAAGGGAACAGAGAGCTCGATGCTGTTCTTCCTTTGGGCTAGGTCAATGCTTCCATGCTTAGAAATCATATGTGACCCTGATTCAGTTGCTGTCCCCTAATTAAACCTTTGATTTGTGAATCGGCTATACCTTAGCTGTTGCTATTGCTTTTATACTCCCGGATAAGCAGCCAAAAAGGAGGCTTAGCCAGATTCTAGTGAACTTGACAAGCAAGTGCATGCACCCTGGCTAATCAGAAGGCTAATCATGAATATCAATCCATGTTGTTTATTTAAAAAAGCTATATCTGTACCATACAATACAAGTTGCTATTTTCTTGAACTCAGAATCTAAGACATACTAAATTTCATGATGGTATAAAAACATGTAAAGTTGATCACAAAAAAGTTTGTTCTATCCAGTTGAACTTTTACCAGTTATGTAAGAAATGTTTTTGCTCAGATACATTCACATTGCTTCGGAAAGCAGATGAGTTCTGAAGGTTTAGTTTTATGAGCCAATATTCTGAATGCTTGTTAATGTTAAGAATAGAAACCGCCAAGCTGTGGAATTTGTGTGGGAAGCAAAAAGGAGAGTCTAAAATAAGTGATGCTCTTGATATTTGAACATACATTTTAACTTTGATTTTTATATGTAGGTTTACAAAAATCAATTTATCAAAATCACTGATTTAGATTAATACTCCTTCCATATTAAGCCATTTCCTCTTATAACATGTTTACAAAGAAATAGGAATTTCTTTGTCTCAACATTGTCCTTACACACACATACACAATTATATATATACACAAATTATATATATAATTTCTGAACCCTGTGTTATTTTCATTACTAATTAATACATTGTAAAGTACCTGATAATTTCTTCTTATTTAATGCAGCATATTATAGAAAAACAGAAGGGAGTTTTCCTCTCAAAACTCAGATTTTTCTTCTCATTAACTCCCTTCAAATGAGTTATTCGACATTACATTGCTGGATCACAGAAAAGAAAATTACAGACAAAAACCCAGGTGAGCTTACCTTTCTGTTGTGCTTTTGACCCATGGAGGTCCATGTGTTATGCATTGATCTTTATCAAAATCAACTGATTTTAAGGCTCAATGAATATGATTTATAGTTCCACAGGTAAGGAGAGGAGGAGTTTTCAAGAAACAGCTTAGATCATATGGATGAATGATTCATGGTTAATTCAATCACTCCAGAAAGCATTCATCAACATGGTGTTACATAAGGGACAATAGCATTCATAACACAGCACTTCCAAGTAACAAGTTATTGTTTATGTCACAGCACCAAGTGCATGAGAGTGTATGACTTAGTATAGTTTAGTATAATTATTCCTTTCAAAGACACTTATGAACCTTACATTTTGGCAAAAGGAATAAAAATAAAACATTTATCTTAGTGATAGATACATTGTCAAAACATTTATTTTTCCCCTCATTTTAGACTATTATAGATAGATATAAAAGGCTGGGAGGATTTTTTTTTGTTTTCTTAATCTATGTTTTTGTTTTATTGTTTATTTTATTGTTTTCCTAATGTATGATAGAAAAATCATTGATTTTTGTGATATTAAAAATACAGCAAACTTTTAGTAATATATTAAACCCTGAATATTTGCTGTCTTTTTTCTTATATCCTTAGCATCAGCTATTTAAAAGTTTCTTCATTCTGCTTAAGAGAAGAGCCAGCTTAAAACCTTCCTAATTAAATTGAAGCACACTAAAGAGCTGGGTCCTGTTAAAAGGCACTGGATTGTTCATGTGCAATTACTAGAGTGTAAAAATATTGTTAGTGTCAGGTCTACAGTTCTCTGCTCATATGCAGCTTTGGGATTTCTGTGATAGTTTGTCTAAACTCAGAATGCAACTTTTTTGGGTCAAGAAGCATCCTGGGCTTTGAGTGAGGTGCTAAAGACCCTGCCATATTAAGTCATACATGAGAGAGGACTAAAGTTAAAATTTATTTCATTAATATTTAAATTAAATTTTAAAATAGTTCTTATGATTGCTCTTCTCTCTTGTATTTAATCATCTCCCCTTATGTCATTTTCCTTTTAAAAATTATAATCTAGGAACCAATTCTGGAGGTATCTGGAGCCATTGTAAGCTCTTTAATATGGCCCTGGACCTCATTCTAAACATGTTGCTTTTTATCATTTTCCTTCTAGACATGATAAAGTTTGAATAAAAAAAAATATTCTGCAATGACCCAAGTGGTGAGTTTATCCACAAATCTTTGGCAAAATATTTCTCCTTATCTCCAACTAAATGCAGTACTTACTGAATCTTTTGGTGAAGCTGTTATTCTTAGAGCGCTCTCCAGCTGAAGGGTGTCTTTTGCTGTTTTTGAACCATTTCCTTCGTCTAGCTCTAGCCCAACGGTCTGGTTCTTTTTCTTCTTCTTCTTGAGAACTATTGTTTGTCCTTGCATCTTTCAGCACTTGGTCCCTTGATAATCCTGTGCTCATGTCTTTCAGTGATTTAGCTATATTTTGTGGGAGGAAAAAAGAAACAATCTATACAACTGACAACATTTAAAGTCAGATTACCTTTTAAAATATTCTGCTTTATAGAGGTTGCATATTTGTTAGCTTAATATCAGTTACTGAAAATACAAATAGTACCAAATATTTTTTCAGCCTGAGTGGAAGTTACAGTGGTTCCATTTATTTATATTTCATGTATTTTAGATGTGCACAAAGAGCTGGTTCCAACATTCTGTCAGGAATAGAACACCAAACAAGAGCCCAAGAAGATACAACATGCACTGCTTTACCTACCACTTTTAAAAACAAATAAACAAACTCCTAGCGTTGCAACTAATGGGAAGGAAATCTTTTAAGCCAGCTCATCTCAGAACATTTTAGAGTCTTTAGATTAATCACTGTTCCTGACTATACCTTTTCTCCTTTTCCTAATGTAATATAAAGAATAATTCTTGAAATATTTTAAGACATTCTGAAAATAGCATAAAATAAAATTATGGTTTCTAGCATAAGCTTATAATTTATGTAAGAAGAAGCTTAAAAAGATTTAAGTTCTGTACTTCTCTTCTGGTCAGGAATATCCAAAGAGTGTGATCAAGAAAAAAATCAAGAAGGTACCTATGATGGTTGAAATTCTCTTTGTTCATTATATGCATTATTTACCTTGCTATATTTTTCACAATGAAACAATGCTTTGAAAAGTAGTTTCGAAAATTACTTGCCTATCTGATCAGCTTGATTTACTGATGAGAATGTGGCTGAGATCATGACTGCATTCCTATTTGTTTCCCTTTCTTCATCTCGTTTTTCAGAGCTGGGTTTGAATAACGTCTCTGTCTGAACTTCTGCTAAATGACTTTCAGAATGATGAGAGACACTTATGTGTTTTTCATTGGAGAACATCTCTGGAGCATCTGTGAAAGAGTCCCCAGCTAAAAGATGCTTAGTCTGTATAGAATAATCTTGGCAATCAGAATCTTCCAGAATGTTTTCAGACATTTTCTGAATGTCAGTACAACTTTGGAATTCGTTAACTTGATTTGATTCTTCAGTATCCAAAAGAGGCAATATAAATACTGTTTCCCTTTTTCTGCTGGGATCTTTTTTTATTGCCAAGCCAAATGAATTTGCCATAGATTTAATGTCACCTGGAATGATGAGCTTCTGTTCCAATTCTCCAGTTATTACAGTCGTGACTGATTTTCTCTGGGGTTTTTTCATTTCTTTAGACTCGGAAATATTTTGTGGAAGATTTTTGTTTGACTGTATTACTGATTGTTGACCCTGAATGTCTTCTACACTTGATAGCCTTTCGGAAAGCAAAGAGTCTTGATTTGCAGTTACTTTGTTTGGTAGTTTTTCATGGACTTGAAATTGTTGGTATTTGCTTTTTAGAATCTCACAAACAAAACCATCTTTTTCAAAGGTAATATATTCCTCACCTCCTTTTGGGGTTGTTGGCGTCTTAATGGGTCTATATTTCTCCTTTTGAGCTTGACAAGAATTCATAATGGAATGAAAGTCTTCTACTGTCACCTTCCCCATTTCTTTACTACTCTCCCTGTATTCTAAATAGTTGTCCCCTGAAAAAGTAGTGTTGAATTTGCTTTCTATATGACACACATTCATATTGTGATCACAGGAAGCAAACGCATAGCAGTGTGAAGATTTAAGATCTGTGAGAGTACCAAACAATGATGTGAAACTTGAATAAGGTTTTGTATAGCTGACACGTCTATCAGTACTCATTTTATAAGTAGTTACTGCTTTGAATGGTCCGGAGAGGAGTTTTAAAGATAAAGATGGCATGGAATAAAAACCCGAGTCCCTTCTAAGTTGAGGCAATGACAATACATCAATAGATGAGACTGGGAAAGAATACCTTCTTATGTTTTTTGATTCCTTGGATGAAATTAGCATAGCGGTCCCTGTTTCAAATAAGCTGTTGTTCCGTATTTGTAGTGCATTACTCATCTCTTCATTATATTTCTTTCTAAAATGGATTTCTTGGGAACTGTAATTTTCTTGTGGGGTTTCTGTAGAACAGCTGAATTCAGAAAAAGCCATTCCTTTGTAGAAATCTTTTCCCTTTGTGCATTCCTTCCTATTCTCTTGACAGGAAGCATTTTCTTTTTCCCAGTTTAAGGCAACTGAGGATATATCTGGTACATCCATGTTGTCCTCTTAAGGATCTAATAATCTTAATTGTAATATCTAAGCAGTTTCTGCAGAGTCAGCAAATAAAGCTGGAGGAGATGTAAAGAATTTACCATTCTGGACTTATGCAACTTAAAAATGTTTTCCTGAAAGTCAAAATTTGTCTCAAAATTTGAATGGCAGGACACTGTAATGATTAAAAATGTGAAACACAATATTTTCATATAGTTTCAAAATTACATGAACAGGGTAATGCTTTGCCACCAGTCTGAGCATTAACCAGTAACTCCTTTCCACCAGTGTATTTTCCCTCCTATCAACACTTATTTTCATCAATGGGCTTGCAATTTGGACTGTGTATTTGGAGGGGTTTTTTTTGAGACTTTTCAGAAAGATTACTTAAGAAATTAGTGTCTTTTTGCTACTTGTTAACAGTTTTCTTTGTGATGATATTTTTTTTACAAAAAGGGTTTTTACTTTCAAGCCATACAGTGGCTCATCATGAGGATCACAACACTCATTTCCATACTCAAGAAATCAGGTTTCACTTCTCTGTACAGCAGACCACAGAATTATATTCCATTGTACTATATCCTTTTGATGTCTTTTCTAAGTCATCAATATTTACACTGTGACAATATCATTTGCTGAGCAGCAAAGACTACAAGCAGGACAATCTTATCCTCACTTTCCTTTTTTTTTCAACTATCAGATATTGCCTTCAAAAAGAAATCAGTGTTATTTCCTTTTTCACTGTGTATAAGAAAGATGGTTTCTACTTCAATCAGATATTGCAAATCCGTTGCTTCTTGAGTACTGGTGTTTCCTGGATTGTCACCTGTCCTGTTTTCAATGTTATGCTGGCATCAGTTGATACTTATCTGAAGAATAAAAATAAAAGAAGAATTCTGTTATTATTCTGAAAGTAAGATTGCTTAAACATATCTGGCAGGCCAATGATAATTTTGAATAGATCAAAAAAGGATGCAATGCTCCTAGTGTATTCTGATTCTACTGCACCTCTGATAATTACAACTTGCTGATGGTTGCTTTCTTTTCAATCATCCCAGACTGAAACTGTCAGCTGGTACAGCACAGATAGTTTAAGTTTATTACTGTCAAAAATCAGAGACCAGAACAAATAAAAACACTCAATGAATATCCAGTTAAAAATCTAGAATAAAATAATAAATAACAGATAAAATCTATATTCAAATCACAATTTGGCATCCAGTCTGTCAATTACACATAGCCTAACTGAACTATAGTATCAATCCTTAAACCATAAAGCCCATAGTCATTGAATACTAAAATACAAATAACAACAACACAAAAGAGTTTACTACATTAGTTGTGTAAAATTGCTATGGTGGATTAATCACATGTTTTCGATGAATCCCCAGTGCTGTGGCACAGAATCTAGCTGTAATCACGGTCTGTTTGTCCTTAAGCAGCCACTGGAGATAAGCAGTGTTGGAATGGCCAGGATACCTATCAATTATTGGGAGGATATGTTTTTTTTCGAATATCTTCTATAGAAAGAATATCGAAGGAGTTTATGTCCAATGATCTCCACCTCTCCTAAGCCATAGGAGCAGAGTCTTTTAATCAATGGTATCTTTTTACACAGATAGTTTGTATGGTTCCCCCAGACCTCATCAGGATGCCTCTATTTGCAGTTTAAGATGGTATAAAACTGAGAAAAGGTGATTCAATTCCAGAACACATCACTCTTTCGAAAGAAATATTGGAATTGACACATGGATAAACCTTTACGATTCAAACGTGATTTGCAGATTTCATAATTTTTTGGGCATTGCAGAAATAGGACAGATTGAGTTGAGTGACATAAATAGCCAGCCCGTTGTAGACCTTGTCTTGCACACTTTTCTCTCCTTATTCAGTAACTCATTTTGTCTTAACTTTATTCCAGCATGTTAGTCTCTGTGCCCAGTCTACTCAATAATTTCAGTATTATCATTTTTTCCAATAAATATATTTTATAAGGAGGTTTCTTTTCACTATTTCTCTGCCCCGTATGGTCTTATATGTGACTCTTCATTGCATAATTTGTACTTGCTTGTAGCTTGCATTATGCTCGTTAGTTTATTTTTTTTACATCATCATGTGTCATTTATGCAATAGGATAACATAATCATACATGCACAAGCAGCATGGAAGGCATCAGTCCCAGAACAGAGTATCACATGAAGCCTTGCAACCATTTTAGGTGTCATTGCAATGCATGTTGGAAAGAGGGATGCCAATAAACACATGACTATAGCTGCCATCTTCAGTTTTTTGATCCCCACACTGTGTATAATTTTTAGCAAAACATTCAGTGTTCAATAAAGCATTCAGTTCATGACCTAATAAATATCCTGACACAAACAATAGACATAAGTAGCAGCTTTTCCTCCCCAGTATTTCAACAATGATTAATAGCAACCAGTACGTTACTTTTATGTGCAGAAAAAAAGTGTATTACTCATGTAAATGTTTTCTGTTCATCTTTTTAATACCTTGCTATTTAATTATTTTAGCAATAGCAATGGCAATAGCACTTAGACTTATATGTCATTTCACAATGCTTTACAGCCTTCTCTAAGCGGTTTATAGAGTCAACATATTGCTTCCAACAATCTGAGTCCTCGTTTTACCAACCTTGGAGCCAGTGAAAATTGAACTGCCGAACTGTTGGCAGTTGGCAGTCAATAGAATTAGCCTGCAACACTGCATTCTAACCACTGCACCACCACTATTATATGGAACAACTGTGATTGATGTCCATGCACGATGATTGTTTGCCTAAGTTTATTTCAATATATTTTTTTATCAGCCTTTACTTGGAAAAGCAGGAAATCCCTCATATATTGGACTACAACAGTCAGCGTTCTCAGTAAGCATAATTTACAACTAACTTGGAATTTTAGGAGAGCACCAAGCTGGGAATGTTATGTTGCATTAATTAGGATCAGGAAAAGGCCACTTTATTTATTGACATGTAAATTCCTCTATGCTTCTTTCCCAATAAAATTAGATATTTTGATTATAATCTATTGAATTCATATTTTAAAATGTAATAAAATTTGAAATCACATTTCTATACAATTGTAGGAATTATATAAGTATTGATAGAGGGAGAACATGGAGAATTAATGAACATATAGATGAAGTACAAAGAACAATATACTGGTAATAGACTCTCTGTGTTTAATCTTGCTATCACGTTCTATGAATACAGAAGATTACATTTTGAATGAGATCAAAATGGTGTAAGGTATAATTTTGCCTTAAAATGAGTATCAGTGATCTGTATTGTAAGTTGGGACTTAATACCAAGATGTCCATGCTGGAACATATCTGACCTTTATAATGGAAAAGTCTAAATTCCTAACATTGTCACTGGGAAGTTGTTTAGCGGCACAAGCCAGGATTTGAGCTGAAGCTGTTAAATCCTGAGGAAATAAATCACAGTGCTTCACTCTTTTGTTCAGGATATTTTTAGACAGCAGTGATCATAGATTAGGCATCTCTGGCCTTGAGAGCTTATGAATAGCTACTCTCAGATGAATAACCTACTTTTTTTCTAATCTTGATCCATCAGGGCTCTTACTGTATTTTTTGAACTTTTCTGTTTATATAGTATTGAACATAGTGTTTAAAATTACTGATTAAAATCATACAAAGCTTAGGAGCTTGCCAACTGCAAATCTGGCTAGTGTTTGGGAAGATTAATATTAGAGTCATCTGCTGGCAGCAGTGCAATTTTAAAATCTGAGATAGCAAAGAAGGTAATTGGTAGTATTGCAAGAGAAAATATTTGTGTGTGTGTGTGTGTGTGTCTATTGCAGCAATGAACAGACAAAATATCTTTTTTTAAAGGTGTTGATAGGAAGTTTTTAGGTCTGTTGCATGTGTTGACATGATACTTAGAAAATTTCTATTTTTAAAAATGGAACACTTTAAACTGTCAGATAATGAAAAAATAGTTTGCTTGTTCCCCATTCACCACCACAAAACTTAATAGCAGTTTTACAGCATATGGATATATAATAATAATAGTAGTAGTAAAGTTTGAAGGGACCTTGGAGGTCATCTAGTCCAACCCCCTACTCGGGCAGGAAACCCTACACCATTTCGGACAAATGGCTGTCCAGTCTCTTCTTAAAAACTTCCAGTGTTGGAGCATTTACTGCTTCTGGAGGCAAGCTGTTCCACTGATTAATTGTTCTCACTGTCAGGAAGTTTCTCCTTAGTTCTAGGTTGCTTCTCTCCTTGATTAGTTTCCACCCGTTGCTTCTTGTCCTGCCTTCAGGTGCTTTGGAAAATAGCTTAATTCCCTCTTCTTTATGGCAGCCCCTGAGATATATATATACTGAATGAACAGTTATCTTAAAAGGTCCAACTTAAATTGATGACAGAAAGCACCATATAAATAACACCATAATTCATCATTCTTAGAGACTGAAGAGCCACACTAATTCTTAACCTCTTTTCCCAAATGTCTTTTTACTTTACTTCATTGGGAATAACTTTTTAAATGGGCTATATAACATGTCAAAGAAGGTTAACTATGTGAATCTTATAGTTGCAAAAGGTCTTTAATAAAAAATCAGTTGATGGAATTTATCTCTGCATTTTTATAGCTTCAAAGTATATTAAATTGAGGGAACACGTGGATGTACGAAAAAGTAAAGCGAAAGCAGACACAATGTACATTTTCTGATTTTATCTTTTCAACATTACTTTTTAGAGTTTTTTTTTAAGTTGAGCTGCTAATGTACACTAAGAAAAATGCCTACATTATCATGGTCAGATGAAAATGAAATAATATAGTGTAACCAGTTTAACTGACATTGCTTAACAATAAAACAAAAAACCTCATTGAAGGACAATAGAAAATTAAATAGGCTGATGAGCTGTGACTTATGTTCAGTTTAGTAAAAGGTCATTCAAGGAAGCCTATAACTGGCTATAAATTATATCACTATAAATCCATAGACTTTTGATATATCTATTGATATCATATTTATTGGGTTGTGATGCAGAGATTTTGCTAAGCAGGACAAATGAAGGTAGTAAAGTATTTTTCCTTCATTATACAATATAAACTCACTCATGGCTTAATAGTCAAAGATTTCTTGCTATTCCAGAATGAAGATGGAATCATATTGAATTTGGAAACTACATTTAATTTTACCAATCTCTATTATTTTTATTACATCCATTTTTTGTTGCTCTCATTTATGTGACTTGTAACCATTAATATGCTTTTTAATACTGATTTTTATGTGTAGCTTCGTTCAAAACAAATACACTCAGCTTTGTTCTGATTCTGTAGCAGTCAATGGTCACAAAAATAGTTTTTGGATGCTTAAAAGCTCTTCCAAGACATAATGACAGTTGGCAGTGGGGATTTCAAAGAGTTTGATAAATTGGCAGAAAGCGTTTTCCATTATCCACAGAATCCAATCCAAAAATGGTATCATCATTCATCACCATCACTTTAGACAATAAGCATTCTTTCCAACATAAACATTAATCAGAATGTTTTCAATTTATTTTTTCCATTTAACAATAAATTATGCATATAGAACCTCTTAGAATAAGCTAAACATCCTAGTATTATAAATTGTCATCAAGGGAAGTATAAGAGAAGTAGAAGAAAATATTTTTGAAGGTAAAATTGTACATTCTTAAATGATTATAGTTCACTTAAAGTGAAGTCTGAAGAATTTGTAAATGTAGATTCTCTGAGAAAATATAATTCAAATTTTTGCTACTACCTCTTGTAATACTAATACTTTATAATAATGTATATTCATAAAGGAATTAAATCAAAGGGACTCTGATATAACCTTAAACATTTAAAATGAATTACCCACTTCAGAGTAAATACATTTTGGAAATAGAAGTAAAGCCATTATAATATATTTTAAGAGGAATTCCATTAATGTAAAAGTTTCTTCCTCAAAAAAAAATTCAGCCGACTGGAGAAATATATTTAGTTGTTCCTGTTCTTTCACACACACAAACACACACACACACACACACACACACACACACACACACACAAACTTTAAATAACTCTTATCTTCGCTTGATCTTTAGCATAGAACTTTGAATTCAGAATTCAATCCTTCAACTTTAGAATCATATGGCTCCAAGTAATGCTAAGATAAAGAAACTAGCCTATTCTGAGAGGGAAAAATACAGAATATTATTTTATTGGAACAAATCTTGTAAAATTCTATTATAGGAAATGTAGCTGGCATTTTGTTAATAACAGAAAATGAATAGATTTGTGTAAGTATTTATAAAGGCTGAGCATTCAAATCAATTTCATTTGGAATATACACTATAGCTGTATATTCCCACACTGGAAAGAACAAAATAATCATCTGTGGTATCATAAAGAATATAAAACACAGTTCAAAATCCTCACCTATCTCATTTTCTTGTTTTTTCATTTATTTTCTTTTCTGTGTTATTATTTCAAAACACTAATATAAACACATACAGGTAGCCACAGTTTTTTGATTGATGAAAGAATAAAGGTGTATATATTTTTATTATTGGTCTAAATTATATCCCGCCCCCCCCCCCAGAAGCAATGGGCAAGCAACTCACCTATGCAAATTGTATCAGCTTCCTATTTTTCTGAAAGGAAGAGTTTACATTCATAGGAAAGACTAGTAAAATCTTAAGCCTGATTGGCTTGCTCTATTTCTTTATATATCTATTCTTGTTCCTTACACTCAGAATCGGATTAAGGTATTTAATTCCAGAGATTATTAAGAATGGCCTATCTTTAATCAGCCTACAAATACCTATTTTCTTTTTCCCTCACATGTATAAACAGATTTAGAACATTTTTTTTCTTTTAGTATGTTTGAAAATTAATCAAAGTAATTTTTCAGAACATTTAAACCAGTGGTTCTCAACCTTTTTAATGTCGCGACTCCCAACCGGTCGTAAATCAAGGACTACCCAACCAGTTGTAAGTCGAGGACTACCCAACCGGTTGTAAGTCGAGGACTTTTCCTGCCCGGGAGCGCCACGCATGCGTGGTGCCGCCCCCTGTGCCAGCCGAGGCGTAGCTGGCAAGCGGCAGAGACGACGCAGGCCGACCACCGGGTGGGTCACCAACTGGCCCAGCCCAAGAGAGGTAAGGCACCCACTGGGCCCCATGCGCGCCAGCAACCCTCCCTGCACCCGCCGGCCTCCCACCTCCCACCCCTGGCCGTCTTTTACTTACATTTTTAGTAGTTGCTCAGCAGGGAGGGGTGGAAACTTCCAGACAGCTTGCCTTCGCTGCAGACAACTTGCAGCACCGTTTGCAGAATGGGACTTTTGGCGGGCTCAGCAGGGCAGAGACAGCCTGGACAATTCCTATTGGCTTTTGAAAGCCAATAGAATTAGACTCTATTCTAGAGAGTCTATTCTATTGGCTTTCAAAAGCCAATAGAATAAAAGGGAGTAGCACAGCTAAGGAAAAGGGGAAAAAAATGGCGGACTGCATTATTTGGCGACCCTCGTGAAATGGTCGTTCGACCCCAAATGGGGTCCCGACCCACAGGTTGAGAACCGCTGCTTTAAACAGACTGAATATTAAGCAGCAGCCAATTCATACTTGACTGCTACCATGTAGGTTTTTTTGCCTATTACAGTGGGACATCCATGGAGTTTATCCATTTTGACCCATCCATGGTGGGTCAAAAAAGTCTAGATATGGTCTATAGCTGGTGTGATTTAGCCCTGGCAGATTGTGTCTTCTGCCATCTTGATTTTTTTAAACTGCCTAATAGACATTGCTGCCTTGGTATAACAGAAGAAAAAAAACTTAAGGCCAGGAACAAGTTTCACTGAACTTAATGAGGCTTCTTCTGCAATAATCATGTATACATTTTCTCTACCAAATATTGCTCCTGTGATGTTGTGACCATGATAGTGCAACTAATTAAAGGACCGTGGCTCAAAATACAGACATTGCTTTAAAAGAAAGAATAAACGTTGAACGAGTGGCAACTGGGATAGGTTTTGTTCTTACTTTCTCAGTCCTAGGCTGGATGTCCCAGCAAGTTTGAAAAAAGAATGGCATATCAGCATTTTAGAAAGAATACATGCAATACGATGGAGTACAAATGTTGTGCAATAAGGTTACAATCTTTAACCATAATAACTGAAGGAATGGAATTAAATTGTAAAGCAGCTTAACTAAATTGGAAGGGATTGTAACTACTTTTTATGGGTATGGAGAAAATATATGTGATTGTTACAGGGTTTTAAATGGCTGTCTGGAAATGGTTGGGCCCGTTCAGCTTAATACTGGAGATCATTTGATCGGAACTGTATCCAGATTACTTGAAACAAAAAGACAGCTCAGCTCTCCCATGGGAAAGGTAGGAAAGTCCCAGATTGGCAATCAAAAAAGAAACAGAAATAGAAATAACTGCAGGCTATACTCTCCAATTTCTCAAAAAGACCACATCTCTGTTACTCAGTCCTGTAGCAGTCATGGTTAAGCCACATTTCCATTTTTTCTCCTGAGTCCCACAGGGAGCGTCTTTCATCTTGCAGTACAAAAAGAAAACCAGGTTCATAGCTGGTTAAAACTTGGATTATGCCATTTGTTCTACTTCCTGCACTTTTCTTGTTTCAGTGTTAGTCTGAAATACATTTAACTTCAATTTGATATAATTGGACTAGAGGTATTGAGCGAAGAAAATGCAGGGAACAACTTTGTTAGTGAACTCTCTACGGAGGCAAAATCTTTTTAATAGATGTCACACAGCTGAAGGATTTAGGAAGACTTTATTAAAGAGCTCCAAGGGACAAAAAAAAAAAAAAGCCAAAAGTCAGCTTGCTAATTCCAAACTTCTCTCAGTTTAAACACTTAATAATATTAATGTAACATTGATGACACATTTAGAACAATTCTTAATCTGGTATGTTGGAGCAACTTTTGAGCCTGCTTAATGCAAATATATCCAGAAATACCAAATTATAACTTTATGACTTAGCAATGCTAAAGGTAATGCTATGCAAAACACACAGCAAGCTTCTTACCAGAATGAGATTTTAGTTTGCATTGGTAATGCAATGTCTATTCTTTTAATAGAAATTTTACAATTTCGTTTTAAGAATTACATAGTACATTGGTAAGAATATTATACTGATACTATATTGATAATTTTGCTATGTTTAATGAACTAATGATAAAATACTATTTAATATTCAATACAAGGCAACATAAATCATTTCAAGTGTATCACTCTTTAGCAATTTTATGCCCCCCCCCAAATAATAATAATAATAATATGAGCTTGGCTATCAATGTAGAGATTTCATAAGATTTGGCTTATCTTATGAGATTTTTGGACATTTCTCATTTAAAAATTTAATTACATAAAAAAACAAAACCTTTCGAGGTCAATGGGTCTAATCAGGCTGTCATAGGTACTATATATACAGTGCTTGCTAAGAGGATACCCAACTTATTTCCTAGTAAAATAAGCTTTTATGAACCTATTTATCAAGAACTTAGGCAACATTTGACAATGCAAAATTTGTTAAAAGAACTGTAAACATAAATATTACAGGAAGTAATTACAAGAGTGTGTAGAATGAAGGAATTAGAATTTTAAAATTACTATTATAGTTACATTAAGTTTAATTTTATCTTAGAAGATGCAGTTATGATGCAATGGAAATATATAGGTTGCTGAATTTAAAGATTAGCATTCATTCCAATCCAATGTTTTATCAACTGATGAGCAATGGCTTGATGTGGTGGCACAAAAATATTTTGGTTCTTTTTGTTGAGAATCTCTATTATCTGAAATGAAAAAAAAAATCAGAACAGGAAGCTCACCCTAATTGAAAGACAGTAGTTAAGATTAATACCCAACTGTTATTTTATGGAAGACATTGGGCAAATCTCATATCTATCCATTACTTCCTATATAGGTAGTGTTTACTATTTCTGGAATGATCTACTTCCTTTTCTATTTCTAAATCTGGTGAAGGAAAAGCCATAGATTAAAAGCATTGGTTCCTTTTTTTTTGAAACATCAATGTATTAGATTCAAAATATGTTTCAACAAGCTAAACTAAGTTTCAACGAACAATGGATATTTGCTAATAATTCTTCACTCTTAAAATGAACATGTAGAAAGCATCCATTTAAACCAGAGAATGTAACTGATCATTCTGCCAGATCATCAAAGTTGGTAATGAACAAATATGAATGGAAAAACATGGGAAGCAAATCACTTTATGAAATAATTGTTTTATCAGTGTTTACCTAAACACCAATAGCCTGAAATATTTTATGGAACTAGATCTTGTTCTAATAAAAATGGTTACCTAATTTATTTGATATCTCCAAGGAGACAATATTGTGAAACTGAATCAGGAAGATCATTACGCTTGGAGTGAAACCATGTATTTCTAATAGTCTTCAATGAAATGTACCTACACAACTTACTGGCAAGATCTATGGGCTCAACAGAGAAACAATTGCTTGTATCAATTCTTTGACCAACATATAATTTTCAATTTCAGGGTAATCACTGTACAATAAGGAGAGTAAGAAGTTTAATTTGTCTGAGTGAAAAAGCACATCCATATTGTATGCCGTAACCAATGCATTCTGAAGACAATCAATAAGAAAAGGAAATTAAATTGAACTTTACCTGTTCTCTACTGAACCAGCGGGCATCTTCTATTTCAATGTTGTCAACTTTAATTTCTGTAGACACTGCAGCTGCTATGCATCCAATCATTAGGGAGGAGGGCATTGGCCATGGCTGACAAGAGACATACTCAACACGGCCCACTTTAACTCCACTTTCCTCTTCTACTTCCCTTCGAACAGCATTTTCAATTGTCTCTCCTAATCAAAGAAAAAATAGAACAGTTAATTGACAAAGCTTAATGCAAAAATTGTATCTTGTGCTTTAAACTATTCCAAAAGATACGAAACTTTCTTGAGCAATCTCTTGTGGCTATTCAAACATCAGAGCATAAACTATTTCCAACAGAAAAATTCATTCATAAAAAGCAAAAAAGGTCAAAACAATGTAAGCAAATAATTTCAAAAGATGTAAACTGATTGCACATCTTTGCAGTAGTTCTGTGGTGGTCCCCTGCCATTGCTTTTACCAATGAGCATATTTTCAAGTCTAATTAAATTATTTCTATACCTTTTCTCCCAGTTTTATTGTACACGGATATTCAGCAAGATAAAGAAACTGAATCCATACAGGGTAACAGGATGTGCCTACGAAGGGAAGGGAATATTTACGACAACAAATGTCTTGCAGCATTTTAACATTTGGAATAAGTTTTAATAATTTAAATTTCTAAAGAACAGACCTATCTTGGTAAAAGATGTGCAAAAATTGTATTAATGAAAATTGTAATAGATTTTTTCCTAATCTTAATTAAAGACTGCAATGAGATTTCAATTACTTGTTCGGCTTTATAGATTTCAAACCTCATTTTTAATTATCTGAATATAATTTTTCAAGAGTTGATGCTTGGGATCTTTGCATTTCAAAGCATGTTGACAGCTCCAGTTGAAATAAAGAAAAGAGGACTCACAAACTGCTTTGAGAATAACAGCTATAGACTGTAATTATGCAAATATTTTAATATTTATTTCATTTTTATCTCAGTGCATCTATTAAGTCCAAACTAATGAAATGCTTTTAGATACACATTGGACCTTCATTAATGGCACTTTTATAGCACAACTGAACAATCTTTTTCATGCTGAGAACCAAACTATCCTATTAAATGATAGACATATTGTACAGACAAAAATTGACATACAGTAGCTGAAGTAGGGAAGGGAATTGTTTAAAAAAAATCAAAACACACAAATAAAAAACAACAGTAGTAGAATACTTAAGATGGTATTTTGAATTCTGACAGCATGTTATGAAGCTTAATAACATTATATGGAGAGGATTCTGGATGCTGCATACACTGATATATAGGAAAAACGATCTAGTGATCACAGGATTATTTT